ATTGAGATGAAGGAAGCAGAAGGCGGCAGAGGACTTTCAAAACAAATGCGGTGAAACTGTTTGCCTAGGAGAGGCTGAATAGGCCAGAAGGTAATACAGTGATACCTCGGGTTAAGTACTTAATTCGTTCCGGAGGTCTGCTCTTAACCTGAAACTGTTCTTAACCTGAAGCACCACTTTAGCTAAGCTAATTAGCAGGCAGAGGAGAGGATGGGTGTCTTCCCTGAAGGGGGTGACATTCGGTGCGTGCCCCACCCGCAACTCTCAAGCCTACAGCAAGTGGCGGCCCCAGCGGCCCGATGGGGCCGCTGGATAAATGCAAAGCTCCCCCCACCTTTCCCCAGCTTGCTGTAGGTTTGGGAGTTGCCGGGGGAGGTGACAAAAAAATTTTGCCCCGGGTACCACCTGACCTTGCTACGCCACTGCTGGGGGATGAGATGTCACCAAGGTGATGGGGTGTATGTTTGAGGGGACAGGAAAATTGAGTTTTCAAGCAAGGGGTTTCTGGGAGGAAGGAGGAGGAAGAAGAGTAGAGATCCATCTTTGAAAAAAGCAGTCTGAAAGTTGCTTGGGCTGCTGCCTCTGGAAATGTATATGTCGTAAGATCTGGACTAGCTCCATGCAGACTGAAGGTGTAAATAGGTTAATAAACCATATTTCTTAAAGCACAACAGCCTCTGCCGTGTCTTCTATTTTCCAAAGGGACACAGACCTTGGACCCCAGGGGCTTTTGTCACCACTTGGTAGAGAGAGGGGAAGTAACCCTGCTTTTTTAACAGTATAAACAATACAGTATACAGAATAGAGTGGCCTAAAACTCCAGAGAACATACATTAAAAGGGGTGGGGACAAAAGAAATTAGAAGCAAGAGGAAAATTCTCTTCTTGAGAGGGGTTTTGCCAAGACAGGAGGCAGCTGTGTCTTCTTTTTTAAAGGAGCTCACTTAATTTGCTCCTGATCCTTGCATCCTCAGCCATTTCACTCTTCCTTGCATCTCCTTGACAGACAACGGCGGGTCTGTCTGTCTATCTGTCTGTTTCCCTTTAAGCCAGAAATAATTGCTGAGCTTCCGGCTTCCTCCGTATTCCTTTGCACAATCCTTTTCTTCTCCCTTCCATGTAATCATTTTTGCTCATTAGAGAAACTTGGGAGATAAGCAGAGAGAACAATGGAGATGTGCAAGCTCTTTGTTGATGCAGAAGTGGCTGGATTTTCCTGCTTTCGGTCCTCCTCCTTCTCCCCACCCCCACCCACTTGACTTTCCCAAATCTGTCTGGTGTGTCTGGACTCTGGACTAGATTCCACATTCTAGCCAAGCGATCAGTCACCAGCTTTGAACTCAGTTGGACCTTTAGGCTTTCAGGAAGTAAAAATAATAATAATAAAATGCCCCTCAAGGATGTACCTCAGCTCAAAGAGAGAGAAAGTCAGGAAATACAATAGATCAGCACTCTCCAGTTTTGAGGGAAAGCAGCTTCTGAGGACAGCTGAAAGCTGCAAAAAAGATCATTTCCTTCAGCAAGGAGGAACAACTTCTCTGCCATCAAACTCTCAAGGACTGTGTGATGCTCTGCACATGAACCCAGTGTTTTTAGCTCCATCTTTCAGCAGAGGACCAAAGAGTGGCCCAGCTCATCTATAGGGTGGGATTGAGGTCAACCTGCCCCTCTCCACTCCCAGTAACTGTTCACACAATCGTGCTTTTTTTTTTAATAAAATTTTTATTAGGGTTTTTACATTGCAAAATAGAAAAAGAAAAAAGAAAAAATACAAAATAAAAATAGTTAAAAACAATCAATCTTTTCATCACATTATTTTTCATTTACTTGTTTCCCGGACCTCCTCATACCTCCCTTTTTTGTATTCCAATTCAATTTATTAGCTCAGCAGTTTCTTTCCCTCTTTATTCTACCCTGATCTTTAATCTTAAGTTATTATAACATTAATTTTTTACTTATAAAAAACCATTTTTTCATATTCTTTTATACCATTACAGCTAGAAACCACTTAATTTCAATCCAACATCATTCTAGCATTCATTAATTTTACAATATCTCTGTAAATAGTCTTTAAATTTCTTCCAGTCTTCTTCCACCGACTCTTCTCCCTGGTCTCGGATTCTACCAGTCATTTCCGCCAATTCCATCACCTTCATCTGCCATTCTTCCAGAGTGGGTATGTCTTGTGTCTTCCAATACTTTGCAATAAGTATTCTTGCTGCTGTTGTAGCGTACATAAAGAAAGTTCTATCTTTCTTTAACACCGATTGGCCGACTATGCCCAGGAGAAAGGCCTCTGGTTTCTTCACACAATCGTGCTTTTGCAGTTTTTCCAGTTCTTCTCTCTGGTCCGTTCTCCAGTGTCTTTGCCACAACTTTTGCTGTCGCTTATAAAGCAGGAAGAAGCAACCTTTGTTTTCCACCCTTGCACTCCCTCAGAAAACCAGTGCTTGATTCCAAACAGATGGCATGGGAGCAGCCAGGAGAACTGTTGTCTCTTCCATACTTATGTCAGACTCTATGGGCATCCAAGCAGCGGCTCAGTGGCCAGACCAAGGGACTTGACAGGGACGAGGGTCTCACAAAACACAGAGGCAATTTGCAAGGCTGAAAGTGAACGTTACTGAGCCACTCACATTCCTTCAGGGTTCGGGGAAGTAGCTTAGGGCATACCCAGGTTGAATTGCACAGAGTCTGGTCAAAGTGGGAGGACAGGTGCTATGGGATTTGGAAGGAGAAGCACTCAATGAAGTAGAGGGTGAGAGTCTCACCTGCCTCTCCAGTGCTTCCCACTCAGAAAGGCCATGGAGGAAGGTGCTTGAGATCCAACCGGCTCTATTCCCTTTTGACAATGTCATGCTTTTCTGTCTCAGCTGGCCAATCCTGGCTAATGTTACTGCTGACCAATCCAGACCAGTTATGCTGTCCCTGGGGTCGTGAGAAGTATAGAGGATACCTATAGAGGAAAAGTCACTCCATGGACCTGGAGAACTCCACTACCGATGGTCCCATGGTTAGCCAGACCAAGAATGTTATGTCTCCATCTGTACTAGAATTGTTTTTAGATGTTTTTGCTGTTTTGTTTCTTGTGCGTTTGTTGTCTTGGGCTCCTTTGGAAGGGCAGGAGATAAATTTAATAATGCAGTGGTACCTCAGGATACAGATGCTTCAGGTTACAGACACTTCAGGTTACAGACTCTGCTAACCCAGAAATAGTACCTTGGGTTAAGAACTTTGCTTCAGGGTGAGAACAGAAATCGTGCGGCAGGAGCGGGAGGCCCCATTAGCTAAAGTGGTACCTCAGGTTAAGAACAGCTTCAGACCTCCAGAACGAATTGAGTTCTTAACCCGTGGTACCACTGTAGATAAAATAAACTAATAATAATAATAATAATAATAATAATAATAACAACAACAACAACAACAATAATAATAATATTCACAGAGCCACTGTGGGAACAAGGCGCTATGATGGGACTTGGGCCTGATCCAGCAACCAGTTTCTTCCTCTGAGGTTCTTTTGGCAGCTACATTAGACAGAAGTTTCCAGGGAGGGTGGGAGCCATCCACCCACATACCTCCACATATTCCTTAAACCTGTCTGTGCCCCCTAAGCTATCTGCAGCCCTCAGATATGGTGAGAGATGTTGAAGTGAGATTCAACTGCTGCCGGTCCGATAAGATTCTGTATGTGGGATGGGGGGGCACCATCTTGGTCTCCCCCCTCAGGCCCCATAATGTCTTGGGCTGGTCCTGTAAGAGCCCCACCACATCTGACAGGAATTAGCATCTGCCTCAACAGCTGCATGGCCTTCTTTACGCCTTGTTTTCTGGTAATGAATACTAATGATCCTTCACAGTTTTATTCTAATTGCCTGCCTGTCAGGGTTTGTTACCCTTCCCCATTTTTTGACTCTCATACCAGACATTCACTCTTGCTCTTGCCGTAGTTGTTCCTGCTGTGTTGACGAGACTTTACACTTGTCAACAATTATTTTTTTTAAACAGAGTTGCGACGGTGATTAAGATTGCAGGGGGAGAGGAGACGAGAGAGGGGGGGGGATGCATCTCCACCCGTGAACATAGAATGCTCATTTCTAAGGTTACAAAATTAGAGGCTGTGGTATATAATTAAAACTAATAGGTTAACTGAGGAATATTTAGATCGTAGTCATGCCAAAGCAGCTGCCATCAGTCACTTGGCAGCCACGCAGTGTTTGGAATCTAAGCGATGCCCACAGCAAAGGCGGTGACAAGACTGACAACCAAACATTGGGGCGTCTTCAGAAACTCCTTCCTTTGCCAAGTGAGGCATTCAGCCCTACTTTCTACTCAACAGGATGCCAAAGACAGTGGCCTCATGAATTGTGCTGATTTGGGAAGTGCTCCTTCCATTGGCTGTTAGACATAATTCAAGGAGCTGGTTTTAAGTGCCGTCACAGGTTGACACTGGCATGTCATAGGGCTGGGTCTTCATGTTCTGGACATCACACAGCTTAAGAACGGCAAGCATCTCATGATTCACTCTGGCTGTGGCAGTAATCTCTCCATGTGCTAAAAGTTGTTATCTGCCTGACACTTTGGGCAGGGCGGAAGAGAAATATGCTCACATGACTGTATGGGTTTGTGGGAGATTGGATCTTCATTTCCATAAACAGTAAGAAAGCTCACCCAGCCCCATCACCACTGTTGCCTGCACAGCCATGTCCCAATTGAGAATATACTTTGGGAAAAATAGGCAGAGATAGTGCTTCAAACTCAAGAGAGAATAAATGGTCAGACGAGGGGGAAAGAAGTCTGTTATGTAGGAAAGGCCTGCTCTTTTTGCAGCGCCAGATTAAACCCTGTAGAGGTTCCTAGGCAGTCAAAATCTCTGGGGGGTGGGGGGTGGAGTAGGGAGGCTCACAAATCATCTCCTAATACTTTTAATATTTTACCAATCAACAATTTTAATAAACCAATTTTAATGCACAAAGCAAACTGTATTTATTTTGATCTGTTATTGCAAGGGCCCTAAAAGGCATGGAGCCCATAGGCCAGTGCCTACTCTGCCAATTTGGTAATTCAGCTCTGTCTTGGGGGTGGGGCAGGTATTGTGTTTCTCTAAGCTTGGAGGCAGGTCGATGGAAGCCTTTGCACGTTCGGGCTCAGCACCCTGAATGACGAAATCTTTGCTGGGGGGGGGGCACTTGCAGTCTCCCACTTCCATCCTCAGTGAAGTTTTCCCTCAGAGGCCCTTTGCCGGTGAGATGGTTCCCCATGGCTTTGCCACAGATTTAGGGTTGCCGTTTACTGAAGCAAGACAGGTTGTTTTGAGAGTGCTGTCACTTCCCTTTGCCTGGGCATCTTCTGTGCCACCTGCAGATTAAAGATCAACAGAACCAAAGGTTATATGGGGGGGGGAGGAATAGAGAGGAATGAGCAGCTATCTCTGTGTGTTTCTCTGTGTGTGCAGGAACTGGGGGTGGAGGACAGATTGATGAGCAGGACTGCCTAGTAACATTCGCAGAGGAGGGAAGGGGGAAATACTATCCAAGGTTTTGTTCTTGAAAATTATTTGGTGGGGGGGCGCTGTGAGCAAAAGCTCTTCCATTTGCTATAGCTGGGAACCACAGGAAGAGAGAGGGCTCTTGTGCTTGGGGGTCCTGCTTGTAGGTTTCACACAAGCATCTGTTTGGCCACTGTTTGTGATAACAGGATGCTGGACTAGATGGGCCATTGGCCTGGTCCAGCACGCTCTTCTTGTGTTCTTATAAACAAATTGAGAGCTACTGAACACAGGAACATAGGAAGATTCCTTATGCCAAGTCAGAGCATGGGTCCTTTAGCTTAGTATATTCTACACTGACTGCCAGCAGCTTTCTGGGGTTTCAGGCAGGCAGAGTTCCCAGCCCTACCAGAAGATGCTGGGGATTGAACCTGAGACCTTCTACATGCCAAGCAGAGGCACTACCACTGAGCTACCTCCATCACCCACTGATGTTTGGTCGGTTCTCATTTTTATGGGTCTCTTTCATATGTGTATACGATGAAAGAGAAAGAAAGAAAAACTGTAAGGGACAACTTTTTAAGTTTAAATAGTGTTTTAAGGGGAAAGCTTAGTTCTCTTTTTATATATTTATACAGTGAGTTGTTTTATACTGGGCATATTTGTATCATTTTGCTGGTATAGTAATTTCCCCTGCCTTTGGGTATAAAATGCAGCTATTAAATGATTATGTTTTTAATTCTTCTGCATACTTACCCACGATCAAGTCCCATTGAAATCAGGGGGTCTTTACTTGTCAGTAAACACCCTCAGTAAATGTCCACAGGATCAGACTGTCAATGAGTGAAACGACACACATCTTGACTTCCGGTGTGCTGGAACTGATCTAGGGATTTTACAGGAGAGGAATCTTTTCATGGAACTCTGCAGCTCATATAGTGGTTCAAATACACACAACAGCTGTCTGGGATTTCATTCATTCATTCATTCATTCATAATTTTATTTGTATGCTGCTTTTCCACACACACACACACACATGCTCAAAGCAAAAGAAAATGGAACACAAAAACAATGTCATAAGAATGTAACAAAAGAACAACACAATAGCATATATAACAACATACAAAAAACCCCAAGTTTAGAAATACAGTATAACAAAATTACATAAACATTATTACACCAATTATTGGAATAACACTTGTAGTTTAATGCTGAATTTTGGATATAATGGAGACGTAAAAGATTGGGATTATTATAAAAGATGCAGGAGGAAATGGTTAACAAAAGGACCCACAAAGGGGAGGAGGGAAGTACAGGAGATTCTTGGGATTTTGTTTTTATGTTGGTTGTTGGATAATTGATTGTAAAATTGTAAAATCTGAAAAACTAAATAAATATTATTAAAAAAACAATACTACACCTCTTGGCCGTAGCAAAAATAAACCAGGAACTTAACAGTTTCACTTGGGTTCTAGAAAAAGATCTCCCTTGATGCTGGCTACAGTCCCTCTCCTGCAGCAACTTACAAGAGTTTGGATTTGATATCCTGAGTTATCACTACCCTAAGGAGTCTCAAAGTGGCTAACAATCTCCTTTTCCCTTCCTCCCCCACAACAAACACTCTGTGAGGTGAGTGGGGCTGAGAGACTTCAGAGAAGTGTGACTAGCCCAAGGTCACCCAGCAGCCGCATGTGGAGGTGCAGGGAATCGAACCCAGTTCACCAGATTACGAGTCCACTGCTCTTAACCACTACACCACGCTGGCTTTCGAAACAGGTGGGGTTTCTGAAAACACCTTTCCCATTAGGTTGCTGCTTCTCTACTTTACCTGGTGATGTCGGGGATCAAACTTGGGACCTTGGGCATGCAAAGCAGACACACTGAGCTCTAGCCTCTTCCCCTGGCCCATTACTGTATGGGTGAGATGAAACGTCCATCCACTTCCTTCTCCACCTGCAGCCTTTAATAGGTGCAATGCAGGAAGGTCTTGGGCATTTTCTTCTGCCGGGTGCATGGCTTAGTTCCTAAATCACAAGCTCTGGCCCAGAGAGGTCAAATGCCACAGCTAACCATGTGGCTTCCATCCACTGTCATGTCTGTCTCAGCATTCAACTCCATGCCTCCCACAGCAAGCAGCCCGCAGAGGCAGATGGCACAAGACTGTCCAGACTTGGCTTCCGTGCTGCTCCCAACACCTCCCGTGTTGCTGGTGTCAACTGCTCCAACAGCCCTTTGCGGCGGATGTATCAGATCGCAGTGGGAACAGAACGTGCCCTGCCTAGCTGAGCTGCCAGTCTCATCTGCTGCTTCAGAATTTGCAATCTGTTCTGGAATTTCTCGGCTCAACAATCAGACTCCAAGATGGCAACATAAGACGGGTCCTGCTGGTTCTGACCAAGACTCCTTCTAGCCCAGCAACTTCTTAAGGGCTGTACTGGGGCAGGGGTGGTGTGGGGACTGGTTTGATTTTTAATTGTTCTTAGCCACTTTCTCTCATGGGTAGGTATTCTACCAATTTTGACATTTCATTCAGTCCTTGTGTCTTCATCAACCATTCTTTCAATAAAGGAACTGATGGATCCCTCTGTGATTAGATAAATAAGCCTGCAATCCTAACCCCATTTACGTGGGAGTAAACCCCACTGAATTCAATAGGACTTACTTCCGAGCAGAAATGGTTAGGATTGCAGTATAAAATCATGGTGCCTATTTGGAAGTTCCAAATTTGTTCTCTCCCCCCCCCTTGACCCACAGTATCCAAATATTTATTTTATTTACAAATTTATTAGAAAACACTCCTGTACAGTGGTACCTCGGGTTGCAGATGCTTCAGGTTACAGACACCACTAACCCAGAAATAGTACCTTGGGTTAAAAACTTTGCTTCAGGATGAGAACAGAAATTGTGCAGCGGCGGCCCCATTAGCTAAAGTGGTGCTTCAGGTTAAGAACAGTTTCAGGTTAAGAACGAACCTCCAGAACGAATTCAGTTCTTAACCAGAGATAGCACTGTACTGCTTTTCACATGGCATCCACCATCATTAGAACAATGTTACAACAAAACAAATCAAAATATACCAGGAAAGAAAGCGACGTAAAATAAGCACAGCGTGCAGAGAGCAAAAATGAGTCAGCAATCAGCAACCCACAAATGTCTGGGTGAGCAGAAATGTTTCTAATTGCTGGCAGAAATACATCACTGAGGGGGCCTGCTAGATCTCTGAGCGAGACTTTTCCATAATACAAGGTGCCACTGCAAAGAAAACCCTGCAAAGAAAGCACATCAACAATAGACCCGGGGGAACAAAATAATCCCATGGCATCACTAAATGTATGTGCAAGTTTACATCAACCCCCCAATAATTTTGTCTCAGCAAATCCACCAGGCATGCAAGAATTCATTGCTGGGCACAATTCCAGCATCTATTGTTTCTATCTGAATATGTCAGACGGTAATGTTTCAGACAACACTGATGATACACTATCTCATAATGGTCCTCCTGAACGTTAACGCAATGGGAATTTGCAGGTGGGTGCAGTTTACCTTGCACAGCCTATAGTAATTGGCATCCTCAACATTTCCCCATCTTTCCTTAAATGAGCTTAGCTTTGTATATTCACGAGACAGCAACAACTGGTAGATTTGAGGCTGTGGACCCTTCTGAGAATCCCTTTCATGAATAATGGATTCAAATGGTGTCGGAGTAGCTGCTGTCGTTCCCTTGTTAAGATTTTGCAAGACAAATCTCCTCCATGGTACCATTTGAAGTGCATTATTATTGAGTTTCCTTGATATCCCTGCTTCGGCTAAGAAGCTTCTGCCTTGCACAACTCTACTTGAATATTAGATGCAGGCAGAGATGCTTTAGAAAAAAACAAAAAAACATGAACAGGCCAAGAGGGAGTTTGGCAGACAAAGTGAAGACAACTTTAAATGCCGTTAAGGGAAGACGGAGGGGGGAGAGATACAGAGTGTGAGAGAGGCAGAGTTATTTCCCTCTTCTATCTCTACTTCATATTAATCCAAGCCTGAGGTCAGGCAAGGTTTCTTGGCTGTCCTCTACTTGACCCCCCAATATATATATATATATGAGACAACATGAACTTATTGCTGGGATTTCTGAATATACTTTTTAAAAAATGTTGTTGAAGACAGATGTGCCTCTGTCATGTTTGTGTGTGTGTGCAGTACATAAGAGTGCTACGTAAGTTCTGGATTCTGCATAACTTGAGCACTGTAGTCCATTCACTGGTAACCTGAGTCTCTAGACTAGATTACTGCAATTTGCAGACCCTCCAAGTGTCCCTCTTTTCCAAGGACAATCCCGGATTTACAGAAGCTGTCCCGGTTTCTGATTTGATCTCAGAATGTCCCGCTTTTCTTTAGGACATTCCTATTTTCATCAGATAAATGTTGGGAGTGTATGGTAGGATGAAGGGTATGGAGTTATGTGACCCTCCAAGTCAAGGAGATAAGTAACTGTACAACCTTTAGAAGACATCAGAAGGTAGCCCTGTACAGGGAGGTTTTTAAATGTTTAATAAAATATCTGGCTGGGGCAACCCAGTCAGATGGGCGAGGTATAAAAATAAAGTTGTTGTTGTTGTTGTTGTTGTTGTTGTTGTTGTTGTTGTTGTTGTTGTTATGGTTGACAGTATGCTTCCAGTTCACCCAGCACTGTCCCCACAATGGGAGGAATTCCAGAAAGCTGTTGCATGGTTTATTTTCAATCTCCTCTTACAAATGTCTCTTGTTACATAAAGATTTGCAGGCTTAACAGGTTGTCCAGAAAGAAAGCTGTGGTGTCCTTGGGTCAAAAGCTATTTTCATGGACAAGAAACACACATCAATCAAGGAGTACAGGTGGCCTCCATCCTTTCCCCGAGTTCGAATTCCACAGCAGCAAGATTGGCAAACGTTCCCTCTAGGCATCTCCCTGTTCTCCAATCAAGACTAACAGAAGTGAAGTCTTGGCGGCCATTAAGTTGCTACCCCAAAGGAGCTGTACCAGGCCTGCAATTTAGATCATTACAGATTTCCCAGCTGCCCTTCACTAAGACAGAGAGCAAGAGTTACTCTCAGTTCACTTGAGTCTCCCCTGTTCAGCAAGCAAATGTTGTAAGAGTTGTATTCCATTGCAAAGCGGGTGACACATCGTCCTGTGAATGACATCCCCTGATTATTTGCTCAAAATGTTGCTTTAACCTCCCAGTACTAACCTGCAAATGTTGGCCAGATCCAGTCTCCAATGGAAATGGAGAGGCAGAAAGGTTCTGGAGCAAACAGGGAGGATCACCTAAACAACTAACAAGTGGGTCATTGAGGACATTCCTTCTAATGATTTAGAAGCCTGGAGAACACTTGTTCTTTGGGCTACAGAAATGTAATTGTCCACAGTGGACTATTGACAATTCAATAACTATAGCAATTAGCAGACTGCGGAATGGTAGGCTGTGAACCACTTGGGAAAGAGCCCATAATACAATGGTAGAGCATCTCCTCTACAAGCAAAAGCTCTCGGGTTCAAGCCCTGACAGCTCCACGTAGGGCTGGTAAAATAACCTCCACCTGAAAGCCTAGAGAGCCACTCTTTCAGTGTAGACCAGTGTAGGCTTGTTCACACCTTACATAGTTAAACAGGAGGCAGGGCTGCCCACCAACTTGGAGGGTTTAGAAGAGGGTTGGCCAAATCCATGGAAGAGGATCAGGCTGCCACTCACCTGGATAGCTATGTTCTTGCTCCACTGATGGAGGCACTATGCTTCTTCTTTTTTAAAATGTATTTTTATTAAAGATTTTCTTGGTTTATAAAAGTATGTGCAATGTCTCTCTTTTTTTCAAATAACATTTTTTACAGATCAGTTTCATTTGTTGAGACATTAGGAAGAAAACGGGGAAAGAGGTGGAGGGGGCGGAAGGTGAGTGGGGGCGGGTGGCGATGTTTCTATTTTACTTAATATATGTGGGGTTTTGTGTCAGCGTCACTTGTGCAAGTTCTCTGCTATTCACTTGTGTTTCTTTGGTGGTGAGAGAGGTTGGGGTTGGCCTAGGGTGTGGTTGTTTGTTTGTGGTTGGCTGTGGTGGTCTTTGTTTTCGTGTGTGAGTGGGGTGGGTGGGTGTTTTGGATCAGGTTAGCCATATTGATTTGTATGCTGTTGGTGGATTTTTGTCATTGTCTTGTTGGGCTGTGTATGTGATAAAGGGGAGCCATACCAGGGTGAAGGCATCTTCTGTCAGTTTCAGTTTATTGGTTAATTTTTCTAGTAAGGCTGTTTCCCAAACTATTTGGTACCAGTTGCTGGAAACCACAGGAGCGGAGAGTGTTGTTGTGCTCAGCTTATGCTTTGGGGCTTCCCAGAAGCATCTGATTGGCCACTGATCTGGTCCAGGAAGCTCTTCTGATGTCCTTATACAAAACCCTAATTGTTTCCAGTACTGTCAAGGCCCTCTCTGGCTCCTAACTGTGCCTTCCAGATGCCAGCAAAGGGGTCGTATCCCATCCTTACTCCACACAGCCATGGAGAAGCCAGCCAAAAGGCAAAGGATACATTTCTTAAGTAGACAACTAACTGGAGTCGAACTGCAGGGGGTGCGGAGGGGAGTTCAGCCTGTGATTTGCCAGAAAAATGTTGAGTTATTAATATAAACAGCCATCTCTGATGAAAGCCCATATGGAATTATTTATACTGTTTCCAATGACGGGCTCTTTCCCTCCACCTTGTAGAACACACACAAAGGCAAACAAACTGATCAGGAGAACACATAACCCAAATGCTCACACGCACAGATAAAAGAGCCAACACGCCTTATCATCACAGCGCAACTCGGTTTCAGTGAAGTTTCTGGCGAACAAAGCATTTAGAGCAAAGCTTGTAGTTCTTGGTAATTAGCGTCAAGAGTCAACTGGATCGTTCCTTCTTATCTTAATAACCTTAATGGAGCCTTCTGAACAACTCTGCAGGACCCTCCACACATTACCCGCCCCCCTCAAGTGTGGACCCGTGATGTTTTAAATTTATGCTCAAAAGTGTGAAGTGCAATTATGAAACTTGCCTGCTTTCATATCCATGTATGCTTAGCAGGGGCGTCCGTGATTGGCTGCAGCCGGTTGTAGGGCGTGAGCTCACTGGCCAAACTGGGTTTGCCTGTCTGTAATGTGGGGGAATATATTCCCTGG